TGTCGGTCGTGGGGCTTGAACTCTGGGCCTGGGCGCTGTCCCTCAGCTCTTCAGCTCAAGGCCAGCGCTCTACCACTTGAGCTACAGCGCCACTTCTGGTTTTCTGGTGGTTTATTGGAGATAGGAGTCTCACCGTCTTTCCTGCCCAGGCTGGCTTTGAACCATGATCCTCAGATCTCAGCCTCCTGAGTAGCTAGGATTATAGGCGTGAGCCACCAGTGGCCGGCTCATATATATTTGTATCAGTATATACTTTATATAATAGACATAGCATATAGTATATATTAACATATGTTAAGTATTAAGTGATGGATATAATGCACAACACATGAACATATCATAATATAATGGGATATATAACATGAGATCTATATCACAGATACGTGCATACTATATGTAGCATGTAGTATTAAATATACTTCATGTTACATATAATTAGGTGAACTGTGTCATATAATTACAATTATTTAAATCTTATTTGTATTATAATTCCATTATACAAGGTAATGCTACCTTGTACAATTACTGTATAATTATGTTATCCAACATAATTATAATGTATATTGTCACATACAATAGAGAGCATGTCACAATATGTCCTTAGGATAGCAGGACAAAGGTCTTTAATTAGCCACTTTCTGGGCCATGTACTGTAGAATGTTCTCTCTGAGCCCTGGCTCCCCTCCCTGCCTGTCACTCTGTGCCCCGTTATCCCCTTCTCTCTCCCCCAGTGTGTAGGGCTCATGTGTAGCCTGCTCCAACGGAGGGGAGGGTAGTATGTTTAACACATATACCCCGGACTGCCTGCTAGAGATTGGGGCTCAGTAGACACAGTGTGGGGCCAGCATCTGCCTTCCCAGCAGCCAGCTTGTGCAGACTGACCAACCAGGTTTCTGGCTTGCTCCTTGAGAAATGCTGACTGTAAGATCCCGGGGACTCTAGCGGCCAGCTGGACGAATGTCCCCTGGAGTTGAGACTGGAAACAGAGCTTTCTGGGGTGAGGAACAGCTCTAGGAGTGACAGCCTTCTGGGCACAGAACCAGCCACAGCCAGCTGTTTAGGGGATGAGGTCCCTCATGTGGCAGCCAGGGACCCCATCTTACCTTTCCTGCTTCATAGGCCTCTCTCTCTTCCCGTTTCCAGAACCATCCAGCTTTGTGGCCGTCCTGCTGGGGATGCTGGTGCCTGTGGTGGTCATTCTGCCGCTCCTGGTGGCAGTGGCCACCAGGGAGTGTGTCCACAGGATGAGGCGGCAGCCATGGAGGAGGTGGGTCCCGAACGGGGGGGCTGAGGAAGGGAGGTGGGGTGGGTAGGGGTGGGCAGAGGCCTAGAGCACATGGAGGTGGTGGTGTTCTTCTGTGTGTGTTCCTTTACCAGGGAGAAACCGCGGAGCCCAGAAGGCTGGCTGGTGGACCGAGGTGAGAACTGCTCCCTGGGGCCCTGGGCTTGCATGGGCACGGAGTGCAATTCCCAGCCAACAGACTTTCTGGCTTTCTCCTCAGGCAATGTTCCAGAGCCTGCCTTCAAAGCTATGCCCTTATGAGTGCCCCTCCTCTAGGAGATAAAACGATTGCTTTTTCTATGGGAATGTCTTTATGATTTACGGGGAGGAGGAAACAGGGCTGAGTACTGGGTAAAATATTCCAGGGGGAGGGGGAGCCTGGGTGTCAAGAGGGGAGGGGAGGGTCCCTTCGAAGAAGCCATCTGTGGGTGGCCCATTGAGCCAAAGGAGAGGAAGAGGGGAGGGAGGGAAGGAGGGACAGTGGGATGGAGCCCTAAGCCTCTGGTTCTGGGATTCAGGAGGAAAAATCTTCACTTGCCATCTTTATGTGGAGATGTGGGATGAAAAGTCATTCTGACCAGTTTTGTTTACTTTTTTTGTATGCCAGTATTGGGGCTCGAACTCAGGCCAAGGCCCACACTCAAATTTTTGCTCAAGGCTGGTGCTCTACCGCATGAGGCACAAGCCCCACTTCCCCTTTTATTGGTGGTTCACTGCAGATGTCTCATGGACTTTCCTGCCCTGGCTGGTTTCAAACTTTCAATCCCCCGATCTCAGCCACCTGAATAGCTAGGATTTCAGGCGTAAGCCACTGATGCCTAGCTGTGATCTTTGGGGTAGCATCTTGCTTGCTCCCCAGGTTTACTCAGGCTTCAATCCTTCTCCTTGTTCCTTCTTGCTCACGGGAGCTAACAGTCAGTGGTAGAAATGGAATCTTTCAAACTTTTATGCTCAGGCTGGCCTTGAACCATGAATGCCTGTCCACTTCCCTAGTAGCCTGGATTACAGGCTTGAGCCACTGAGACCAGACTCATCACCGCCCAGGTCAACTGACCCACTCAGCCTAAGCCAGGACCTCTCTTGGGGGATGGGGGGGAGCTTGCCTGGGCAGTAGGGAGCAGTGGAGGGGGGCGAGGGGGGCAGGGAAGGTTGGGATCTAGAACAGGCATGACACAGGTCCTTGGAATGCATTCTCACTCTTGCTTATCCTGATCCCCCCCTCCCACCAGCCCCTCACCTGGAGAAAGCCAGACTCAGATGCATGGGGAAAGGACTTAGGATAGGAGCCACGTCCCCACCAGGCTCCCAAGGTTGTACTCTCTGGGTCCGGCGCTAGCCTAGTCTACATCTCTGCCTGTCTTCCAGCTCCTTTGACTTTCTATCTTCCCAGAGCCAGCTCTGGGAGGTCAGCCTATCTAGCCTGGCGCCTCCCCCAGGGAGACCCCTCCTTCTCCCTCCACTGCAGTGAGCCCCTTCCACTTCAGCTCGAGGACACAAAACACGGGCATCCTGTCCCTTTAGGTGGAGGTAGGAACTCAGGGCCAGGTTAAGATCCCCACCTTGGGGTCCGCTGCAATGACCACCAGATGGCAACAGGGGGCAATAGAGAGGCAGAAGTAGAAAAGGCTTCCCCAGGCTGGCCGGTCCTGACCTGACCCTGCAGGTGTCCCAGTGGAAAGGGAAAACCAGGCTGAAAGAAGGAAACAGAAAATACGAAGGAAAAGTGGGCTGCTGGGGGGGGGGGGGGGGGGGGGGAGGGAGGGAATGATCCCAGCCTCCTCTTCCTGTCTATGGGAAGTTGGGGGCAGACACCCTTCACTCCCACGGGTCCCCTCCCCACCCCAGGAGGCCCCGAGAACCTGCCTGGGCAGCCTCTTGAATGGGGGAATTGTCCTCCAACCAGCATGCCATGGGGCTCACGTGGGGGCCCCTCCAGCCCCCTCCCCCACAGCCAGTGCCAGCTCTCCCATGAAACCAGGCTAATGTCAACATCTGGCCCACATCTGTCTCCATCTGACTGGACCCCTACTCACACTCCCCCGCCCCCAATTAGGTTTTTTCCTCCCTTTCATGGGGTGGCACGGCAGGGCTTGAGCTTAAAGCGTGTCCCCCTCACAGTGCCCGTTAGGGCAAAGGAACCAAGGACGGGGGAGGGGCAGCCCCACCCCGGAGGTGCCCGGGGCTCTTGGCAAAGGCCAGCAGGAGCTGTTAGCAGCTGCTGTGAATGAGTCACCTCCTAAGGCCCCCACCCCAAACACACCCTGGGGGCCAGGGATGTGGCATCCAGCCCCCCCCCACAGGCCCTGAGCCATTGGACCCTCCAGACTCAGACCCTCTGCTTGGCAGAAATCTAGTTCAGAGCTGGGATGCATCCCATTTCCTTTTATTTATAACAACAAAAAAGTTTTTTTTAAATATAATTTAAGAGTCCCTCCAAGTCTGTCTCAGGTTTCCTTCCCACCCCCCCTTTCTTGCTGCACTCTTTTGTGGACACAGCTTGGGGAGGGGGGGGTCCTTGGGGGACCCAGGCATTGTTCTGGAAACAGACACATGGGTGGGTCCCTGTTCCAAACTTGGGCAAAGAAGGAGACAGCAACACAGGTGCCCCCAACACAAAAAGACATGAGGACAAGGACGGTAGAAAAAGAAAAAAATAAAATAAAAGGGGCGAAGAAAAAATAAGACCAAAAACAAAACAAAAAATATATATATCTATATATATATATATAAAATTCAGAACCTTCAATATGAAGGCAGCAGATGGGGGAGGGGCATTTACAAGGGAAATGATTGCATTGGGTGGCAGGGACATCAAAACCCAGTGATGGATGAGTCACTGAGCCTCAACACCCTCTTCCTGCCTCCTGGGACTGCGCCACAGGTGAGCTGGCAGGCTGGCCACCCTCTCTTTGGTCTGTAGGGGGGCATGATCAAGGTGTGGGGGTGGGGTGGGGAGCACCCTCTGGAGAGGCTGGGAGACACTGGGCGCCTCTCACACCCTCTGCTCATGCCCACTCTTGGGTCTGGGGTTCCCCGCCTGGAATGGGCTCTCTGCTTTCCATGACACAAACCCCAAATCCTGTCTCTCCCAACTGCCAACTCCCCACCCCCACGGGTTCAAAGTGCAATCCATGGGGCGCAGGGCTGAGGGTCTCTGTGCGTGCCCCTGACTGTGCCCCAGGAAAAAGGAGCGACTGCGGCGTCCTCAGGGAGGTCAGTACTGGGGGGCTGGTCCTTCTGGCCCGCTGGGGGCTCCAGGCTTGGCTTGGGACTTCATGTGCTGGACGCTGGCCAAGATTTTCTTCTGGTGTCCTGCCAGAGTGACCCCGATTCGGAGCAGGTCCCTGAGAAAGAGCAGAGTGCTCCGTAAGCCATAGGTTCCTGGGGCTGCCAGTTTTATTCATTTTATTTATTTTGGTCGGTTGTGGGGCTGGAACTCTGGGCCTGGACACTGTCCCTCAGCTCTTCAGCTCAAGGTTAGTGCTCTACCACTTAAGCCACAGCGCCACTTTCGGTTTTCTGGTGCTTTATTGGTGATAGGAGTCTCAAGACTTAGGATTACAGGCGTGAGCCACCAGTTCTATTTTTTGGCAGTACTGAAGCCTGAACTCAGGGCTTAGCACTGTCTCTTAGCTCTTTTGTTCAAGACTGGCACTCTACCACTTGAGCCACACCTCCACTTCCAGCTAATATTTAGTGGTTAAGTGGAGACAAGAATCTCATGAACAAGCCAGGTACCAAGGGCTCACGCCTGTAATCCTAGCTACTCAGGAGGCTGAGATCTGAGGATCTTGGTTCAAAGCCAGCCCAGGCAGGAAAGTCCCTGAGACTCTTATCTCCAATTAACCACCAGAAAACCAGAAGTGGCACTGTGGCTCAAGTGGTAGAGCACTGAAGAGCACAGGGACAGCACCCAGGCCCAGAGTTCAAGCCCCACAACCAACCAACCAAAAAAAAAAAAAAAACCTCACAAACATTCCTGTCCGGGGTGGCTTTGAACCTGGATCCTGATCTCAGCCTCCCTGAATAGCTAGGCTTATAGATGTGAGCGCCACCAGCACCTGGCTAGGCTTGCCAATCTTGCTCAGTTCCAGACTACAATTAAATCAATCAGGAAGGCAAGTGGGATAGAGAAAGAATGATGTCAGTAGTCTCTGGGCAGTTTCTGGAGGATTTTGATGGGCAGGCCCTATGGGGGGGGGTGGAGCTCTGAGAGCTGCCCTCCCCTGCCCCCCCCCCCCCCCCCCCCCCCCCCCGCCAAGAGGCGAGGCAGCAGGAAGTGGGATAGAGGAAGGAAAAAGCACAAAATAATGTGGAGGGAGAAAGGAAAAGTAGGAAAGAGACAGGGGATGGGGTGGAGAGGAAGGGGAGGTCCCTGGAGTACACACAGGACGGGTCCCACTGCCAAGAATCCCCTGCATATAGATTTGTATCCCTTATGCTATTACTCAAACCTGGGACAAGCAGAGGCCTTGGGAGACATGGAAAAGGCAGGAAAGAACGGTTACATGGGAGGTGATGGATCATAAAACCACTTAACACTGAAGCTAGGAAGGATCTCCAAAACTCAGGCCCAGCCTCTCCTTTTATGGGTGGGAAAACAGGACGGGAGTGGACACGTTAATGTGAGCACAGGCCTGGAATGTAGATAGATGTACAAAGATAGATACAGACAAAGGGCACGGAAGGGGGGTCCCCCGAGCTACAAAGGCCCCGGGAGCGGAGGTGGGCACTGCCATCTAGAAGGGGCCCTTGGATTCTTCACTCTAACAGCGGTTTTTATTTTCTGTATGCATATTAGGGCTTGAACTCAGGGCTTCACCCACTTGCTTGGCTTTTTTGTTTTTGTTTTTTTGGTCAGTCGTGGGGCTTGAACTCTGGGCTTGGGCGCTGTCCTTGGGCTCTACAGCTTGAGCCACAGCGGCACTTGCGGTTTTCTAGTGGTTTCTTGGAAATAAGAGTCTCACGGACTTTCCTGCCTGGGCTGGCTTTGAACCGAGATCCTCAGATCTCAGCCTGAGTAGCTAGGATTATAGACATGAGCCAACGGTGCCCAGCTGGCTTTTTTTGTGCTCAAGGCCATACTACCACTTCGAACATTTTGCTTGTTAACTAGAGATGAATTGGATTTGGCCTCAAATTGCGATCCTCAGATCTCAGCTTCCTAAGTACCTAGGATTACAGGTGTGAGCCACCAGCACCCACTCCAGCATCTGTTATTGCTTGGGAGGCTGCTGTAGGTAGGGTAATGGAGTAACTTCCTGCCACACTGCCTCATCGAGGTAATAGTTGATCTGGGAGGTTGACTCCCCCAAAACCCCTTCTACTCACTCTCACTGCTGCTACTGTACTTACTCAGCAGAAATCTGGCTGACGAGCTCAAAGGAGCCGAATCCAGCTGCTACAAAGCTTTCTTCGTATCTTCCCATCTTGATGGCTCGGAGCCACTCACCCACAGACCCAAAGGCGGAATAGTGAGGCTGTCGCTGGTCCAGGAGGGGGTGTGAGGCCCTACGGGGTGGGGGAAGGATGCTGAGTCCCAGGCCCAGTCAGGGGACCGACAGCCTGGCAAAGACATATGCTCTCATCTACTTCCAAAGAGACTGGGAGCCTTCTTGGCCAGTGGGGGTGGATGTGTGTGTAGCCGGGGAGGGGAGGGGGGGAGATCTGGGTGGAGAGCAAGGAAGAGGGAGAGAAGGGGCTTGGTCTCTGGGACCCTCACCCGCCATTCTCCCGGGCCACGATTTTGAGGCTGGCAGGGTTGCGGATCATCTTGTCGAGGGCGCTGACCACCTGGGGGAAGCGTGGTCGGGCATTCCGGTCTTTCTGCCAGCAGTCCAGCATGAGCTGGTGGAGGGAGGTGGGGCAGTCCGGGGGCGGGGGCAGCCGGTAGTCCTGCTCAATGGCGTTGATCACCTGGAACCACAGGCAAGAGCCAGATGAGGCTATGAAGGGGCAAGGGGGATGGGAAGCTAAAGGGTCCCACGCTGATAGTGGGATGGGGGAGTCACAGCGCCCCAGAATCACAGATCTCAACAGAGTCCTTTCTGTGCTGATACTGGGGCTTGAACTCAGGGCCTGGGTGCAGTTCCTGAACTTTTGTGTTCAAGGCTAGTGCTTGGCCATTTCAACCACAGCTCCACTTCCAACTTCTGTTGGTTAGTTGGAGAGAACAGTCTCATAGAACTCTCCTGCTTAGGCTAGCTTTGAACTGCAATCCTCAGATCGCTGCCTCCTGAGTAGCTAGGATTACAGGTGTGAACTGCTGTGCCTGGCTTGGGAGTCCTTTTAATTGTACCAAAGGCTAGATACCCCAGGCACAGTCTGGAATGTAACATCCTGTGACCTCCATCCCTTTCCATCTTAACTACGCTGTATCAGATGCTCTCATGTGAGGATGGCCTCTGCTTTTCAGCAAGGGACCAGAGGCTCACACTTGCGATCCTAGCTACTCAGAGGGGACTCAGATCTGAGAACCCCAGTTCCAAGAAGCTAACCAGGGGCAAAAAGTCCATGAGACTCTTAATGTCCAATACACCAGCACAAAGCTGGAAATGGAAGTATGGCTCAAGTTAGCAGAGCACCAGCCTTGAGTGAAAAAGCCAAAAGCAATAGAGAGGTCCTGAATTCAGGCCTCAGTATTGGCACACACACATGCGTGTGCACACACACACACACACACACACACACACACACACACTTTTTTTTTTTTTGCCAGTCCTGGGGCTTGAACTCAGAGCCTGGACACTGTCCTTGAGCTTCTTCTGCTCAAGGCTAGCACTCTACCACTTGAGCCACAGCGCCACTTCCAGCTTTTTCTGTGTATGTGGTACTGAGGAATCAAACCCAGGGCATTCTAGGCAAACACTCTCCCACTAAGCCACATTCCCAGCCCATGATCCCCCCCTTCTTCATGACATGCTTGACCAGAACAAGGACCTGGGAAGTGCCCACCCCCCCTACCCCACCCCCACACCCTGTACTGCAGGTAAGAGAAGCCCCCAGGAAACACAGGGCCAGGACACACTTACATCCTGATTGCTCATGTCCCAATATGGCCGCTCCCCAAAAGACATCACTTCCCACATCACAATCCCGTAGCTCCAGGCATCACTGGCGGATGTGAACTTGCGGAAGGCGATGGCCTCGGGGGCTGTCCATCGGATAGGGATCTTTCCTCCCTGCGTGGAGAGGAGAGGGGGAAATGGACCCCGGCACTGTAGCCCTCACTGGAGACTTTGGCCTTTTCTCCCTAATTGGTGTTTCCTTTCTTTCTGGGACTTGAGCTGTCCCTTCCCCAACTCTTGTTCTTTTCCAACATGCCGGCAGTCAGGTCTCAATCAGCCTGAACCTGTTTCTTCTCCCTGGGCCAGGCTTCCTGGTCACCCCTCAGCCTCCTTCCCTCCTCCACCTGCTTTGCATGGGGCCCAGCCTCACCAGAGAGCTGGTATAGGTGGGATCGGAAGAGTTCTCCTCCAGGAACCGTGAGAGTCCGAAGTCAGACACCTTGCAGACCAGGTTGCTGTTGACCAGGATGTTCCGGGCCGCCAGGTCTCGGTGGACGTAGCTCATCTCGGCCAGGTAGCGCATGCCCGAGGCGATGCCCCGAAGCATGCCCACCAGCTGGATGACCGTGAACTGCCCGTCATTCAGCTGCAGAGGACAGGGAGAAGGACCCGCTCGGGACTGACCACCTACCCACCCACCGTGGCCCTGCCCATGCTTGTGTGGGAGTATGTGCGCATGTGCAATGCTTGCCAGTACTAAGGCTTGAATTCAGGGCCTCAATGGTTTGTGGTTTTGCTGTGCCTGTCCTGGGGCTTGAACTCAAGACCTGGGTGTTGTTCCTGAGCCTCTTTGTGATCAAGGCTAGCACTCTTACCACTTGAGCCACAGCACTGCTTTATTGGAGATAGAAGTCTGGTTTTACTAGAGATAAAAGTCTCATGGACTTTTCTGGCTGAGCTGGCTTTAAACTCCAGCCTCAGGTCTCAGCCTCCTGGGTAGCTAGGATTACAGGCGTAAGCGACCACTGTGCCTGGCTTTGTTCCTGAGCTCTTTTGCTCAAAGCTAGTGCTCTACCACTTTGGATCTACACCTCCATCTCTGGCTTTTTGGTACATAATTGGAGATAAAAGTCTCCACTTGAGCCACAGCTCTACAGAAGTGAGACAGGAAGGAAGAAAGGAAGGAAGGAAGGAAGGAAGGAAGGAAGGAAGGAAGGGGGGAGAGAGGGAAGGGAGGGAAAGGAAGAAAGGAAGAGAGGAAGGCAGAAAGGAAGGAAGGGAGGGGAAAGGGAGGGAGGGAAGAAGGAAAAGGAAGGAAGGAAGGATGGATCTGAACTATTAACTCACTCTTTCACTCACCACTCTTGGAGCAACTGCGTTTAGTTTTGGAAGACAACAATGGAAAACTGAGGGGGACAGTACCAAAGCTGCCAGCTACAGCTCAACCCTGACATTGCCAGACTTTGCTCTCCTAGCTATGCCAGGCAGGCCGCACGAGTTCCTGACCACATCTTCCAGGTTCGTCCAGGACACTGGGGTCCAAACACCCGGTTCCATCTTGGCTTGCCATGGCCAGCTGTGGAAGCCTCAGGTGGCTAATGGGTAGCTGGAGACCCCATGGCCGCCTCTGGTTCCTCTCTGCCAGCAATCCTGGCCCTGTTTTCAAAACACGTCCCCAACGCCTGCACCCACTTTCTCTGTGGCTCCCTAGCATCCAGCCAGACATCAAGATATCATCTTTAGTCTCATGCTCTTGCCAAAATCTCTCCCCCAAATCCACCACCATAGCCAGGCTCAGTGGCTATAATCCCAGCTACTTGGGAAGCCGAGCTCGGAAGACCTCAGTGGAGGCCAGCCCAGGTTAAGAGATATATCTCACCCAATGGCTGGGTGCAGGGCTGAGCAAAGCAGGAAAAGTATAAAATAGGAAGATTGCAGACCAGGCTAGTTGGGCATAAAGTAAGACTCTCAATTTAACAACACAAACAGGGCTGGCTCAAGTGGTAGAGCATTAGCCTCCCAAGTGTGAGGTCCTGAGTTCAAAACTGTCATGCCATGGGCTGGGAAGGTGGCTCAGTGGTAGAGCGCTTGCCTTGCATGCATGAGGCCCTGAGTTCGATTCCTCAGCACCACATAAGCAAAAAAGAAAAAA